ACTGGATTTTATAGAAACAGCAAGAAAACTAATGCATATCGCAGTATATTTGGTCATAGTTATTAGAATTTAAAAAATCATTCTGCTGATGAACAAATTTTTGGATTGAGTGTCACATACGCAATAAAAGAACAAAAACTTTTAAATGTTTAATTATGTTTCACAGTAATCAAACACAAGATATAATAATTAGAAAGTTAGTTCTCTAAATTTATTGGTCAAGAATCATATAGCATAGAAAACTATAAGGATATAAAAAGCTTTTTCTTTTACCAAGCTTGGAATCCTGTTATGATTTGGAAGTTTGCTTTTCCATTCATTCTATTTGTGTTATTGATACTGAAATGGAAATTTTATAACAAAATTCTTGACTTTTATCTAAAATAATGTTTTCATACAGCCAAATATCATTAACAGTAATTAACAAATACTTTATTCCTTTAGTAAGCGTAAAAAGCTTCACATAAATGTTTTCCCTGTTTTATTTCGGTCATGCTAAGAGCTGGTCATCAATAACATGCAGTAAATCTACATTTTTATTCTTTAAGTTACGTCACATTTTGAAATGTGAATGATAGGGCTATTAATTCCTTACAATTTAATGTAGAATATCCTGCTTGTGAAATAAAATTTAGCGACAACATTATTCATGCCTGTTCTCTCATCATTTCAAAACTGAATTTTGAGCTTTGCATGCTTGTCCAGCTTTTCAAACGAGAGACAGAGAAATGCTTGGACAGACACCACAGTTCACAACATACATAAGATATCTTTGGAGATAATTTAAACACATTCTACAATGTATAATTACAACATGTATGTGTGTGTGTAAAAGGAATGAATGAAATCATATTTGGTGTGTAAAAAATAATATGTGGAGTTTGCTGTCTGTCTTATAATTTTTTTCTTCTATTTATTTCCTTTGGGATTAAAAACATATACATTTACATGTGATTATAAATTTCAAAAAGAAGAGCAAAGGTGTGGCTTCAAAAGCAATTTCATAAGTTTTTTGTAGCCTCTACAATTCAGTTCTTTCATCTTTCCATTTCAATAATCAAAATATTGTTCAAAACTTCAGCTGTTGTTAGGAGATGTTTTCAGTAAACAGAACTTTAATTGAAAGTTGTAATGTACAACACCCAAGGTCTCTGAAGTTAATCTGGAAGAAAACATTAACTGCTTTAAATTGAAGTCCAGAATTTGTTTCTGAAATATTCTAAAATTCACTTCAATAAACATGAACTAATAAGATTTATTTAAATCTGTTAGCAAAAATAATTTTGTAACTTGCATCAATTTCACATTTTTCATCAGTGGGTTGTGGTGAAATATATATAGAGCAAAGCAGAATTCAGTAAAGATTTATATTAATCATAACTATTATACACACGAGACTTTTACAGTTGTGTTTGACATCATTGAAGCTTTTATATTTGTACTCTGAGGAGGTATATTGTTAGCCAAAGCTTTTGCTTGTCTACTTTTTTTAGAAATGTTAGAAATCTGGTTAAAAATTAGGCCCACTTTAAATATATGATTCATTTTTTTGGTTCAGTTTTGCATTTTTAGCATGATGGTTTTTAGTTTATAAAGCTATTAATATTTACATGTGAGAGGCTTTAATGTTGAATTTTATGTTATTAACATTCTTGTTATCAGTGAGAGGCATTGTTTATGTTTGAGTTTAGATTTATTGTTTTACTAAAATTTAACTTACAGAAATGTTAGTGTGTATTTGACATTATTTGTCATAAGTTTTATTTTACTGCTGTAGTTGAAGGGATGGATAAACTTTTTAAAGTTCTTGTTTAAATGACAATTGCTTTTAAATCTCTTTGAACTTGGCTACAAAGATGTAATAGCAATCATAAAGTTTAAAATATGCTTTCTAGAGTATTCAGAGCCAGTGGAGGTATAGCTTTCTCAAAACTTTTGTATATTGAAAAGAGTCATGCAAAACTGACCTTTGTTTGCATCAACTTCTGAATGTCATTGCAAGCAATTTAGCATACACATGGACCTAATTTAAAAAATAGTTGTGTGTGTGTGTGTATTTGTGTATTCATATGTAATTGTAATGTATTTTCAAAGTGTTATCAGAATGGACTTGTTGGTTACATTTGTGTAACAGATATTAGACAACATGTTTTTTATTATATTTGTTTATTGTTTTTTTGCTTGTGTGCAGAAAATTTGAAATTAATTCAAATTACACTGAAATAGGGAAAACATTTTTTTAACTGAAGTGGAATTAACTTCAGTTGGAAAATAATTTATTTCCAATATAAAAATAGAATGTCTTTTTATTTTGTTCATGATAACACTACTTTAGTTTACACAACCATTTTATGTTTACCTATGGGGTTTATGAGCCCTTTTAAATCACCATACAGTAACCTAAATCAATTTTGGTGTGTTAATAATATTAGAACATTGCATCTAATTCATTATTCTATATTATACAGTGGACCAACTGTTTAATGATGATATATATACACCTGGAAAAAAGTTAAGCACCCCCAAATATTTTTCAGGATTGCTTATTGAAAATAAGGTTTAATTTTCATGATGTTGAGCAATGTTCATAATTTCAAACATAATTAAAAGGATGTGAGCGTTCAGGTGTG